GCATGTGCACGTAGGCGTGCGTGCGTGTGCACGTACACGTGCGTGTGCACGTACACGTGCGTGTGCACGTACACGTGCGTGTGCACGTACACGTGCGTGCATGAGTGCGTGCGTGCGTGTGTACGTACACGTGCGTGCGTGCGTGCGTGCGTGCGTGCGTGCGCGCGTGCGTGCGTGCGTGCGTGCGCGCGCGCGTGTTCGCGTAGCGGTTTTTCGGGAGTTTATTTAGGAATAAATTAGTAAACGAGCGGGTGTTCGTAAGTGTTTTTAAATTATATTTATTAATTGTATTTATTATTATGCTATATTATATTTAATTTTGTTTTCTATTCTAAATCTTAACTTCTGTTGCATCTATATATATATACATACACTCTGGTGTAATAAACCAGTTACAGTAATTTACATATATCATATGTTTGCGATCTTGTTACATGAACAATGCATGTCCATGCTGCGAATAGTTGATAATATAGAGAAGGTCAGGATGATCAAGGTAGCATGAATTGACAGGTTTTTTTTCATCGCCAAAACTCCACAGAATAAAAACTTTGCTATTGCGCGCTATTGCGTGTATCTGTTGCAGTAACTGTAGGTATTCCTTGTAAACTACTACTGTGGATTATTCGTATTCATTTTTCTGATAGCTCACGCACGCACACGATGCTAAGAAATCAGGCAGGATCAGCGCTGGCCAGTGACCAACTTTTCTTATATTATAATATTATTATAATAATTATTACTTTATAATACACTAGGGTCCCTGTATACAGACGTATACGTGCGTGCGTGTGCTTGTATCGAACAATATCACGCATCTGCTTGCTGCCAACCGTTAAACTGCGCATGTGCGCATATGATGTCAATGTTTATCAACATGAAACACTCCTATACGTACATCTGGGGACCCTCTGTATATAGGGACCCTATAATACACAACACCGGGCGATTATTATATCAGTCGGTAGATGGCGCGCACAACACTGAAAATGGCGTTTCGTCAGAACTCAATCATATAATCAACTATACAATTATTATAATAGTGCCAAAAGGTATACATGAATTTATTTCTATTATCAGCAAAGTGGTCAAAACGGTGCAAATACAGTTTATGCTATACTGCTATTCGATCAAGAGAAAATGGGGGGTGGGAATGCGCGAAACAGAAGATAGAGACTAAAGTAAAGAGAGGCTGATAGTGATGCTCAAGGGGTCGTTGTCGTAACAGGTACTACAGATATGGGCAAGGATAGAGAACATGGGTCCCAATAAAGCCAATGTGCCTAACCCTAACCCTAACCCTAACCCTAACAATAACCCTAACCATAACCCTAACCTATTAGTATTATATTAATATAATTATAATATTATATCAAGAGTGCATAATAGAGAGCATCTAGCATATAGCATATAGTGCTCTCTATTATGCACTCTTGATTATATATATGTCACATATATGTACACATATATGTTACCTCTATAATAGAGCCCTCTATAATAGAGCCCTCTATAATAGAGAGCTCTATTATGAGCTCTTGATGTTACACGTGCTCGGTGGAGATAGGAAAGTAGTAGAAGCCGCAGCAGCAGCTGTGCATATATTCGTGTGCATGTGTATTCGCTTGTGTGTGTTTGCTCGTGTGTGCGTGTGTGTGTGTGTGTGTGTGTGTGTGTGTGTGTGTGTGTGCGTGCGTGCGTGCGTGCGCGCGTGTTCGCGTAGCGGTTTTT